AATTAATTTTAAAATTGTTAATTTTACAAAACACACCATTATAGCATTAGACTTTAACTATCATACAGAGAAAATGGTGAGGGATGTTACCCTGGATTGGTGTTCGAAACATCATCTCTCACTGCGCCTCTTGGCGGATCCGAATTTTTGGATTTTTTTTGCAAAAATCAAAAACACACATCACGTATCCCAAAATACTCTAAAAAGGCTAAAATGAGTATTTTTAAACTTTTTCAGCCGGTTTAAGGTTCCAGCATAGCGACGTTTCCTCTCAGTCTGGCTGTTTTCGACCGATTTTGGTTAATTTTGACCAGTTTTATATGGAAACCTATGAAAAACAAGGTTAAGGAGCCTCTGTCAGCCGGAAAAAGGAAAAGCCGAGACCCTACTAGTAGAAGAATTTTTCGATGCGGTGGCTCCGTTGTTCCTCCTTTGCGGTCGGGGTTTCTTTTCGGCTAACCTGCACCAAAAAAACAAGAAACACAATGGTCAAAAAATCGAGAAAAATAAGAAACAGGAAGAGGTTCATCGAAGGAGTTTTTGGATTGCGATCGCGGCAGCTTGACCAAGCTCCATCGTGTTTTTCGACTCTCTCATTAGCCTTTTAGCTCTGATATAGGTATAGGGAGATTCGGAATTCAATTCCAAGTGGAAGAGAGAAAAATTTTACCTCTTCGACGTCGGCGATGGCTCTGGTGCAACAGCGACAGTGTCCCTCAAGTGGCTGAGCTTTTCTCCGACTGCTTTTCTTTTTTTTCTCCGGTCAGAGGTGTCGATTAGGGTTTTGGGAGCCGACCGAAGAGAGATTCAAATACCTCTCTTTCCCTAATCCTAACCGTCCATTTGCGTTGACGTGGAGCAAAGAGAGTTGTTCGATTCGAGACCTATTTAAGCATATCTGTGTGCAAATCTATACCGTCTACCGTGATCCTCCGAAGTGAATCTCGTCTGTTTATTGCCCCACCGTTGGATTTTCACACAGCTGATCATCACTGTCCGTTTGAATTTGGGCAGGATCGAGATCTCACTGTTCGTGCGAGCAGGAACGGATGTGGTTGTTGGATTGTCTAGGCAAGCGGATCACCCGCGTGGCTCCCGCGTGGAACCCGTGCCAGTGTGTCCGCTACGCGGTAAGTTTTGACTCGTCGTTGCTGCTGACGTGGTCGTCCCACGTGGCCCGCATTTTTTCTTTTTGCGATTTGAGCTTCTGTTTTTAATTTTTCTTTCAAACATACCTCCTTTTATTCACAGTTTAACCCTGATTTCTAAAATTAATTTTAATTTCATCCAAAATCCATATTTCTTCAAAAATTAACAAAAAAAAAACAAAAAAATTAAATTATTTTAATTCATTATTCGTTAATATTAAATTATCTTTCGGGTCCGAATGTTGCTAATAAATATTGAAATTATTAACCTATCGTACTTAAGAATATGAAAAACACAAATATTTGAGAAATCTTCGGGTCATTGAAGTACAAGTTCAAGTTGATTTAACATGTAACTTAGTTGTATGGACATTGAGGTCTTCAATGTTATGGTATAATAAAAATGCAGGAACAAATTTTTGAAGTAGCAAAGGCACTAAAGGTATGATATATTATTTTAAATAATAAATTAAATTAATTATGTAAAAAGCCTAAGTTAATATGAATACGTTTGTCCAATTTATTACTTTTACATTAACACATTCATTTATGTGTAGACAATAATCTTTTAAACCATAGTTATAGTAAAATATAATTCAAATAATAGATAAAGACAAAGTTCTTATGATTTTGACGACATAGTAAAACAATATCCTCAATTTTCGTCGTAATTATAAGTTTAGAAAATATATTCATACAAAATTAACAATTACATATTCTTATAAATAAATGGTGCCCAAATGTAGTTTTCTATAATCACTTTCTTTTCCATTGCACTCATGTTGTTTTTATTAATATAATCATTAAAGTCTCTTATACCTTCATATTAATATCTTACTTAAATAAAAAATCTATAATCAACTCCACCCCACCAATAGTATACGAACCGAGTTTATCTTACTCCTACAAGCTAACATTATTATTATCTGAATCTCACTTAAAATTTATTGGGAATGACATTTTGCAATCAACCCACTAAAGTCAATTCATTCGAACAAGATTTAATGCAGTATGTTTATTAAAATACAGCTTTGAATTTGATTACAATTGAATTTGGTAGTATGAACCTAACCTGTTAAATATATATATATTTTTTTAAAATTTTTTTCTTAATATAAATATTAATATAATTAAAATGGTAGAATTGGGGTTTGGATGTGATAACACCACAAAAATTGAAAAGATTAAAAAGATTTAAACATGCTCCAAACCATTTATTCTTCACAAAGGTAGAGCAAATTCATATTTAGCTAGAATTTGTCGTTGGCATCTGGGTTTTTTATTTAGAAAAAATAAAACATCAAACAGAAAAGAGAAGAACACGATAGTTGCTTGAAATGGGGAGAACACAAAGCATGCATGAACTGGAGGTAACAGACAGTTTTGTATTTGTAAAGAATATTTGATTTAATCTCTAACTATATTAATTAATACATATTCAATTTGTTAGTAAAAATGTTCACTAGACTCTCGGTTAAATACGTATTATAGATTTAATATTCACGTAATATTATATGTCAAAGAAAATTAATTTTTAATAAAAAAATTAAAAATATAACAACTCCAAACAATGGCTTTAAAAATTGCCAAGTCATCGGGTGCGGATTAAGTGTCATTTTCATTCGATATTTTTAATATTTTATTAAAAATAATTAAAAATTAATTTTTTACACATTATATATTATATTATCAAATATGTGATATTAAAGTAGATATTAATTCAATTAGAATGTGATACATGTTCAATAAAAGGTATAATAATTATACATAAGAAATTAACAAATCTAAATAGATATTGACTCAACCAAAGTGCATCGCATATCTGATTTTAATTTACATGACACTTCTATTAACTATATTAATATGCATTAATAATTTAAATTTAAATTAATTTTTTTTTAAAAAAATACAAGAATTAAAATTATAAAATAAAATAATACATTAAATATTTTAAAATAATAGAATAGCCAATTTAGTATTTTATGCCATATTTTATTTCTATAAATGTAAATCATTTACAAAATAATAGTTAAATATATGTTCTTTATTGATCAAATATGTATAAAATAATTATTAAACTAAAAACAAAAAAAAAAAAAACAATTCAACTCGAGGAAGTGCGTTGCAAAATGGGCTGCCAAAAATTCTTTTAACGGCCCAATCCCAAGCCGTGTAGGAACTTCTGTTCTCAATACTAACCAAAATATATTTATGTACATAAGTAATAAAAAAATAAAGTTTATGATTTATGTGATAATAAAAATAATAAGAAGAGCGTAAGAAAAATCAAAATATATTTATGTATGCATAACTAAGTTAAGTTGTAAGGAGAATATAAATTATTTTTTTATATTAAAGTTTAATTAGTTGGTTTAAGTGATAATTTATCAAAATTATTTATTATGATATTTTTGAAGAATTAATATATAATATTATCGAGTAAAAGAAATAAAATAATATTTTAATAATGGGGGGGCCATTGCTTTAATGAAACTGTTTTGAAATAGACATCCAATTTGGAGTATTATGAAATTAGTAATTATGACATTCATTTACAAATGTCTATTAACATAATACCTTGTATTTTTATAGATGGAGTTATAAAACGTTTTTTTTTTTTTAAATATATATAAGAAATAAGATAAAAGAATTTTAATTTTAGCTTGCATTTATTTTCTGTTAATTCAATAATTATTTTTATTATCATACTTTATTTTAAAAGTTTTATAATAATTTTATTTTTTTATTAAAATACTAATTTAATATCTACACATCATCATCTAAACATAAAAAATTATTAAATAAATTAAAGACAAGTAAATATAATACAAGTTAAATTAAAGCAGCCGAATCGAAGGTGGTAGGCAGGGTCTTGTACTACATCCCTTTCGCATCCTCCTCGTCTGAAGTAAAATGGTAATCCCGGATTTTCTTCCTCCCCTTTCTTTATTCTCTCTTTTTAGTATGCAAAACGGACAACTTATAATTATGATTTCAACCATTTTTTAATTAAATTATCAAATTTAAGTTATATTAGTTGGAAAAATTTTGTTAATTTAATAAATAACCCAACTCTCATTTAAGTTTAAAATCCCTCTAGTCAATTTTTTTTTTTTTTGAATTTATTATGATAATGAATCATGTATCAAAATTAAAATAGTATTTAGGTAACAAAATTTCACAACTATACTTAAAAAAAATTTTCTATTTTTTAATAACTATATTAAAATTATCCAAACATCTCCGTAATAATTTTCTTTATAAAAATCTTATAACGTGACAATAGAGCATAATACTAAAAACTAACGATCAAGAAAAAATAATACGGAGAATGAAGTATTTTATCTATTTATTATGTTCGATTATTTTTTTTATTTTATAAATAAATTAATTCAAAAAATATATAATTCTAAATATATTCGTACATTTAAAAAAATTTTAAAAATATTTAAAATGCTATGTGGTGATAGTGTAGAAACTAGATAGCACCACTTTGAAATGACAAATGCAAATATGGGTAGTGACATTTTAGAGGTAAAATCATACTTTTTACATAAAGTTTTCGGCAAGGCCTTATCTCTTCAATGTATATTCATCTTCTAATAATTACCAATCAACATATGATTTACTTGTAAAATCAAATCATTCATCTCTATAGAGTTACAAAAGACAACTTATAAAAGTTATAGTTTATATTCTATCAACAGTTAGGGTTATTAGACATGTGTTTGGTTGGTAAAAGACACAACTCCTTCTTAAATGGTGTCTTTGGTAGAGAACAAAACGCAGCGTATAAAGAAGTTAGGCATAACAATCCAGACACAGTGTTAGGCTGTATGAGGAGCAGTGCGAATTTTGAAGGTTTTGAGTCTAGAAATCTCTAAAAGATTTGATTTTGAGATATCCCAACAGCAACAAACAATTAACAAGTAGCCCTGTACTTGGTGTGCTTTAAATGAGGCCCTCTTATTGGTTATCACACTAAATACTCAATTTGCTCGTTCCTCTTTTCTTCCTCCTCACTAATCCCCACTTCTCTTTTTCCTCTTTTTACTTATCTCTCTCTCTCTCTCTCTCAATTGATGATGAAGACTTCAAATCTGGCGTATGTATATATATATATATAAACCCCTGACACGCTCATCTGCCTCTTCAATTACCCAACACAACATGGTCAATTATCATTTCCTTTTGAATTTTCTTCTTCAATATTTACTCTTCAGTTTGATTAATTTCTGGGTGTTTCTTCAAATCAATTTTCAGGTTCCCCAGTGGCTTGAAATTCTTCTGGGTCAGAAATTCTTTGCGCCCTGTGAAGTTCATGAGTGTGCTAAGAAGAAAAAGAAGGAGAAGAACATATTTTGCTTGGATTGTTGCATCAGTATCTGTCCTCATTGCTTGCCTCCTCACGCCTCTCACCACCACTTGCAGGTTCCTTAATTTTAATTCTCCTCGTCATCTTCACTTCAAATTCTCTCTCTCTCTCAGACACACACACACACTATATATATATAAATATATGTATGCTTCTGTGACAGATACGGAGGTATGTTTATCACGATGTTGTACGCTTGGGTGATGCTCAAAAGTTGATAGACTGTTCCTTTGTTCAGGTAAGTGCGGTATTTTACCTACTTCATCATCACCAACAGATTCAAAGTATTGCTAATTAGTTAATTAATTATGGATTATTTTTTGAAAAAAAAAAATTATAACTTTTCTGTAGCCATACACAACAAACAATGCAAAAGTGGTGTTCTTGACTGAAAGGTCAATGTCTCGTCCCTTTAGAGGCTCTGGCAATTTCTGCATCAAATGCAACCGTAGTCTGCAACACCCATTTCTTTTCTGCTCTCTCTCTTGCAAGGTTCAAGCAAGTACTAATTGCTCAACTCAGTACGAAAATGGCGAAATGACTCCTAACTCAGTTCTTGACTCGCCCGTTTCTCGCCAAACTCAGTCCAACTCAGCAAGTGCTAGTTCTGCCAGCACTACTACGACTACGACTACTATTAGTACTGCAGTGTGCAGGTTCTCGTTAAGTCTCGCTTGCACTGTCACTACGGAGTTCATCAAGCGGAAACGCAGTGTCGTTTCACTGCCTCGAGGTTCGTGCAGAGAGAATTGGTCGGCGGTGGCTGACAGTGGAGGCTTCATGAGACGAAGAAAGGGTGTGCCTCATAGGTCGCCTTTGAATTGAAACATGTGGGTGGGTCGGTGGATAGGATATATTTGGTATTTCAATATTTGTTAGAGGGTGTTTTGGGTATTTTGGATTTCACTGCTCAATTTTTGTACAGGTATTTTGTTTACCTGTTGGTGGTATTCACGCGGAGAGTGAGATGGATTTATCATGTAAAAAAGTTATTAATTAAATATGTTTAATTATTAGGAAAATTACAGAAATTTCTGATTTGATATATTATATAAAAATTATCACTATACTTAAAAGTGAACAAAAACTTTCTATTATATAATTTTATGCTCTCACGATTTGTCAAAAATGTAAAAAATAATAAAATACTTGTTACTAGATACTAATTTTACTACTACAGAGATTCTAAAATCTATTTGTGAAATTTTAAATAAATTTTATAAAATTTACTTATTGATTCAAACATGGTCCAAATATAGATTGTTAATGGATTACACTAACCAAGTCTATTTGTTGTAATATATAAAAAAAAGATTGAAGTACAAGAACTTTTTATGAACAGGAAGTGGGTAGGAGTTAAATTGAGGTTGGAATGTGATAATAAAATCCAATTGATTTGAAGCTGGAGTGGGTTCTACCAAACTCTTTAATTATATAAGAAATGAGACAAGAAAAGAATTTGACTTTTCATTTATGTTGTAGATTTAATATAATTAAGTGGGACTGAGTGAGAGGAAGGGGATGATTACAAGTGGCAGAAGGGGACCCAAGAAGTTCCTAAAATGAGAGTATTGGACCCAAAAATCTAATGACATAAAAACATGAAAGAAGGAGATTATGACCCACCCCAACGCCAACCCTATTTTGTTCCTTTCCTCATCTATAACCATACTGACAAAAACATCTGATTACAAAATTGTCTTTTCTCTCATACTCCTCTTGTCCCATTTTTTGTCGACAGCTTATCAATATTATTTATTGATGTTCCCGTCGCAACATAACAGCACCAGTGGTCTAGTGGTAGAATAGTACCCTGCCACGGTACAGACCCGGGTTCGATTCCCGGCTGGTGCAGAACTTTTGGTCTCTCCTTCTATTTTTTCCTTTTTTTTTTTTTTTTTTGTCTTTCCCTTTGGTTCCCTTACAACCCAAAAAAACGAAAATGGTTAAAGAAAACCTACTGAGTTTATATTACCTGTATGTTTTACAAGTAAATAATACATATATATGTTGTGATAGTCAACTAAGACGCATATAATTATATAGTGTGTTTTTACATATAGTAGTTATTTTTGTACTAAACTTATTTATTGTTAAGTTTATCAATAGATAAATACCGATGTATACTTTATTTCGAAGAATTCACTAATAAAAAATATATAAGGGAATTCAGAGCAATTATATAACCTTCATCTACACCCAATTATTCCATCTCATTACTCTTTAATCTTATCTGATTATTGTTTAATAACCAGAAAATAATGGGAGTAAATGACATTAACACAAGCACATTATATTTATTTGTAGTAACAAAATGAATAATGTGATGGCTCCACAAAAGAAATATACTTTATAAAGAAGTCAACGTGCCTTATTTTATAATATACAGTACCATAAATTATACAGAAGAAAAAATAACCCCCGGGTGACAGTATATGCAGCAAATGTTATACATTGAGAAGGGAAAAATTCTTTCCCCTTCTCATGAGTAAAATAATATGTTTTACAAGCTGGGGAAGCTATCTTTCCTGTATCATTAACGGCTTACAGCAAAAATTCTAGGATAAACAAATTACTTCAACAGATCCTGGGATTTCTCCAAACAACAACTATGGAAGGATGCAGCTGCCACTAACTTTCTTTTATGTGCATTTATGGAAGTCATCATAGGCTTGCGAAACCAAGTGGTGATCTTCCCAATCATCACGATAAATTTCTGGTAGGAGTCTCTTATTTCTGGAAGATGCGCGGTACATTTCCTTTCTCCATTCCTCAATACCCCGACAACCACATTGTGCCGCAAGCCAATTGTTATATTCAAACTACAAACCAATGTTCACAACATACTCATTTTTGTCGCTACTGAAAATATGCTCACAACATAATAAGCTAGAGGATGATTTATTTAATCATATAGTTTGTGCTCCTAAAGGATAGCACATGATTTGGAGTTCTCACAAAGTGGAACTATGCAGTACCACACACGAGAAAGATCTTCTAAATTATAACACTTTTTCCGAAGATGCCAGTTCATAAAATTTCGCAATTGCAGCAGACAAATCAAGATATGAATACAGAAACATGCAGCATGCTTGAAGGAAATGGGTATAAAGAAGCTATCTATAATAAAATTTACCTGAGCATCAGCCATACAATGAGTATATCTCTTAGGTATGCCATCAGCTTCAAGTGCCAAGTAAAAGGCTTTGACATCTTCCATCATCTCCTCTTGGGATGGAAGTTTAATCCGATCAGACAAAATGCCTGCAATCCATTTGCTTTGGAATTCAAACATGGGGAAAGGTGCAACCTGTATGGAAAATGATTTTGCAGAATACTAAAGCTTCAGCTATTGAAAACAATAATTTACCAAACCAAAGTCAAAAGAAAATTGTTTTGAGAATTACCTTCCATGGTAACCCAACAAAGGAGAGCCAAGGAGCCAAGGCTGGTGGAAAGATATGCTTATATAGTGGCCCAACACGGTTGTCATCCACTGTCACATAGCCGCTGGTTTCAAGGAAAGGAAAGTGATATTTGTACCTTCAAAATGCACAATGGTAGGTTATGATTTATCCTTTCAATTGAGAGGCAGACTAAATGAATTATACCCTGTGCAATGTAGAATGACATCAGCAAAGACCGCTCTCCCATTTCTGAAAACCACAGAACCATCTTCACATGTTGTTTCTATCTGCATCATTGTAATAACTATTAGCAGACATAGACCTACCACATTTCCCAGCAAAATGGTCAATTCCTTCATTAATTTCCCATGAGAAGGACTACATCTCTGCCACGGGGCAACATTGCTTTTACCATTGAATGAAGCCACAAATTAGCATGTCCTGTCAGCTTTTCATACGTTTCATCTGCAACTGATCTTGATGCAACATGGACCTCTTTGGCAACTCCAGCTATGTCCCTAGAAATATCAACAGCACTTGCAGAGCTTCCTATCAAAACTACAACCTGCTCAAGGAATAAGAGACTTAAATTGACTAAGACAAAGTCAGAGACATGATCCTCCTCCGTGTAAAAACAAGATTATTTGGTAACTGAGAAAGAGGAAAAGTAAGAGGATGGCGAGTAGGGCTAACACGATTTAATCTAAAATAACATGTTTCACACTGACAACATTTTCTATGACAATTTTTATCAAATGCTATACAACATTCACCTTAAAACTATTTCAATTAAAGGCTATTTCCATCAATGCTTTTGACCTATCATAGCACAACCATCAACATGGCCTAACAGGCTAAAGCAATGTGATATCGTCACCCCCTAGCTATGTAGATTATACATCACTGCACACAAAATAAATGGACCCATAACATTGACTTTGGACCAGATCTCAATTTCATAGAATAAGAATTGAAATACAATTGAAATATAATAGAAAGTTGAATGAGAACAAAAATCTAATTCTAAGACAATTTCATGTTTGATTCAACTTAGATGTTTCTGTGATTCCTTCCTTGACAGGTGGAAGTACAAAATCTATGCAGGTTATGGAATTGGATTGGAGACAGGATAGAAGTTAATTTTATTGTGTATTAATTATGTAAATAACGAATATTCTCCAAACCTCAAGATTATAAAAGATCTAGTATCTATGATTGAATGAACGTAAGAACTTTTAGACAACTGGTGGATGCATGCATACCTGATCTTGAAAGGGATCAGGAACGCGATAATTGTGGCTATGCATTTGCTTCCCAGGCCATGATTTAATGCCTGAAAAGAATACAAGGAGCAGAAAGAGGCAATTATCATTTACTTCCTTTCATGAAAAGTTTACATTAACATTTTACAACATTTATTTCTGAAAGAAAAATTTACAGTATTCAGAAAGTTATTCATTTCATTTAAATCCTAAAAGAAGTTGACAGCAAAGGAATTAATTTCCTGTCAATTCTTGATGAGGAGTAAGCTTGGATCCATGTCCCGAAGGAAAACCCCAAACATATGAGCACAATCATTCGGCGATTTCTATAAATTAACTATTAAATAGTACGAAGATCTATAGCAGAGAACAAAGGTAGCCTAATAGACGAGCCTGTGTAATTTATACTATATAACATTCTTATAACCGCAATTCGTAGGGATACAATTACAGAAGTAGCAATGAAAAGTAAAAGAAATTATCGATAAAACCAATTAGAAAAGCACAGCGACAAAAAGTGATGAACCGACAATCAAAGAAACCAACAAAAAATACCTGGAATATCAGCAACTCGAGGTTCGGTGTAATGGCCGTTGCAGACGACAACAGCATCATAAATCTCATCGCCGCCGCCTCCTCCTTTCTCTTTGGACCTCACTCTCCATTTCCCCTCTTCTACCAACCCCACAAGCTCCACCTCCGTCTCAAATCGTATCATCTCCTCGATTTCAAACTCTTTTGCAAACTCTTGCAAGTACACCAACACCTCCCGATGACACGGGTACATCCTCGGGTCTCTAGAGTCGCCGGGTCGGGGTACAAAGGGATAGTCCTGATACCCCATGCATTCTCTGGGGAGATTGGTGCGGAGGGAACTATAGAGGCTAGAGTGAACAACGTTTCGGGCAGGATCGAGACTCATCGGGTCGGATTCCACCTTTGGAGTGTATACCCAGATACCACCCACTTGATTTCCCCGCTCGAAGACGACTACAGAGTGGCCTTCGCGCCGTAACTCACGCGCTGCCACAATTCCCGCCGCGCCGGCGCCGATCACGGCCACGTGGCGGCTTATTGGAAAGAAAGCTGATGGCATGGCTAAGGCAGACTGGGTGTCGGCGGAGAATCGCAACCATGATTATATCACTTGAATACCTAATATATGAAATGAAGGGGCTTGAATTTGATTCACTGAACGATTTGTCTTCGTAGATAAGAGTGACAGGGTGTTTCACGTACATACGTGAATGGCTAGCGCAGTAACTCGATATGAAGCGAACTAATTGAATGGCTAATAGTTATCTGTGTTTGTTTTTGTTATTATTATTATTTTTTTTTAAATGCCGGAGAGTCAATTTTAAGTATTTTACTGTATAAATTCTGTACATATCATTTTTGTTCTTTGTTTTTTTAATTTTGCAGAGTCAATTTTAAATATTTTACTGTATAATTTCTGTATATACTTTATTGTATTTAGTTGTTAAAATATCAAATTATATGAATTTAAAATCCAATGTCTATTTTATCATGCAAGTTACGTGTTCATATGCTAAGATGTGTATACTCGTTTATTTTTATAGTATCATATAATTTAAAATATTTTATCACGCTCATAATGATACAGTGATTATTCAAATTAAATAAAATTAGTTATAATTTTCTTACCTACTTCAATAAAAGCGCATATCTCCTCTACGCTTTGTTTTGTAAAAGCAAACTATCGTACGTGCAATTATAATAGTTAATTATTTATATAATTTGAGAAATCAAAACGTGCATTATGACAAATAATTCATTATACAATAATCTTAAATTTAATATACTACCTTAAGTAGACAAATATTAGATGAAAAAATGGAAAAAACTCATTATCATACCTTAAAAGATATTGCAAATGATCAAGAGCTTTACCTTTGCCATTTGAATTGATGAAGATCGTGCATATATTTGTGTTATAGTCATCTTGCACATTTTAAAATTGTTATAAGTATTAATTTTGTATACTCAGATAATAAATTCTCCCTTAATTATAAAGAAAATAATTATTTATTCATTTTTCATTACACAAACTATAAAATTATTATAAAAATTAATATTTTTAATTTTTATATATTTTATTATATGCGAATTATGAGTAGGATCCAATATTTCATTGGATCATCTAGAAAATATGTAACAGCCCCGGTAATTCAACATGAAAATTATATTATAAATATTAAATGCGGAAGCGAGATCAAAATTTCGGTTAACATCCTTTACACGGAAACAAAAAAAAAACGTACTTAAAATATAAAAGATTAAACTAACTAAGAGAGAAACTCGAAAATAAAACTATGAGTATGACTACAGAGTCTCTAGGCATCCCCTTCGTCGTCCTCCTGCGGAACGGGCTCGGGAACCATGTCTTCCTGATCTGAAATGGTTAAATAAAGAGTGAGCTACACTAGCCCAGTAAGAACATCACGATATCTCACCGTCACGGAGGTAAAGGTGGGTAGAAAAACACAAAAGACCAATGGAGCATGATTTGCACAATCCTTTATTATGATAAACTTTACCATCACT